TTGAACAATCGTTGGTTTAAATTTGCGTAAAGCGTATTTTTCAATTATTCTCAAAGAGTTTTATAATCCTTCAGTTCACCAAGGTACAGACCATCACAACAAACGCCAATTCGTTAAGACAGACTAAGAATAACTTGCTTCCTGTGTCATACACTGACAGCGAGGGTGTGGAACGAGAAGACATTTTATGGTGTACAGAAATGGAAAGGTATTTGGAACATGAACCGCGCATACGTGCAAAAGACATATTGCAAAGCTCTCTACAGTCTTGAAAGTCTCCAGTTTTCTTTTGTGCATGCTTCTCATGTTGAGGGACAATGTTGGAGTCGTAGACCTAGCCCATAAATGTCACTAAGCCGTTTTCGTGTTTCCCTAATAATAAACGGCAACTAATTCTATTTTCGCAAAGAAAAAGAAAAAATACATCGGGAGAGTTGTTTAGCGGATATGAAAAAAATGAGGACTAGAACCGCCGCCATCATGCTTTGTTGCTCAAACATATTAGTCATTCTAGCGTCTTGGTCATCTTATGTTACCCTGATGCCGTAATAACCGTAGTAGAAATAAGTTAATGAGGCCCAACTTTTTTCCCGGCAGGCTGTTCGGCTTTCCCAGTCATTACACTGATGTAAATAACATGGGAAGACAACAAAGGCAACGTCTCCTAGGTAACGCGTGGAGCATACCCGTTATCAGACATCTGGTATCCCCTTTGAAAGACTACTTCAAGTGTCGTGTTGAAACAAATAAGATGACGTCATAATCACTAATGACGTCATGTTGGTAACGTCATGACGATACATATAAAGTCTGACGTCAACTCTTAATGTTACTACCCGTACTACTCTAAAAGAGTAGGATTTGTAAGTATATGTAAGGTGACGTCATTCTTGGTTATTACGTCAATGTTGATATTTACGTTCACTATACATCTCATTTGCATTGTTTAACCTACAGTCGTACACGTCATTGCTGCGTCATACATATCGAGTAGGAATGACGTCATATGAATGTGAAATTTCGTTTTATTATTAGTTCCAAGATGAGCATTAAAAAAAGAAAGAAACATTGATGTGAACATTTGAATAATCGATACTTAAGATAACTTACATTGAGCATTAAAGCTCTTAACAATTCGAATTTAAAACAATATGATTGATAACCAGCAATGAACAAGTAAAATCAGGTCGGTCGTTCGTTTGTCATCTTTTCGTCCACAAGCCTTTCTTGTCATGATTATAATGATAAACATACGGGCATTTGATTCTAACGTAATCCAAGCCTTGCTTAAACACATTATCCATAAGATCATAGTCCTCCCCTCCCCAACCATATTTGGGCCCATCGGGGAATCCCCCTACGCGATCCCAGTCTGACTTGTAGATTCCCATAAGCCCGTAGCCGTAGAAWTCGTAGTAGCCATACTCTTTGTTGCGTCTTGGGTTGTGAGGTGTTGTGTCTTTCCATTGTCGGATGATTGCTGGGGTGTAGATAAATTCACCTTCAATAGTATGCTACGGGAAGATAAAGAGATCAAGGTTATGTCTAGATATATGAAAAAAAATTAACATTTAACCTCCAAAGTCCGACCCCTTTTAAAGGTGGAATGAGCTACGTGCAATGCAATGTGGGATCAGTTTCTAGAGAAAACAAAAGAAATCCGCCATGTTCTGTCCCAAACATACCCTACAATGCATTGTGTATGCGGTACATGACGTAAAAGCTTCAGGGCCGGGTTGTTCAAAGCTCGATTAGCGCTAATCCTGGGTTAACTCTTAGAAAACCTATGGAGTTAACCCTGGATTAATGCTTATCAAGCTTTGAACAACCCGGTCCCTGAGGTCTATGGCAGGATGCGTATGGAAAAAAGTGCCTCCCCCTAGACTCGCGTTTGCTGGTCCTGGTTTAAGTATTCTCGTTCCCAGCCTCTCCTTTTGTCGTGCATGAARTAGGACAGGAAGCCCGTCAAAAACAGAGGCTACAAAGTAGACTGTTGCTCAACATTACCTTTCTAATATTATTAACCAATCCAGCACCAATGGTTAGATGCAAGTCCATCAGGAACACGATACTGTGTGGATCTGTAACTTGCTGAACTGCTAAATTAAAAGATTCCCTCCGAGAATATCTTCCATTCTTGCTTACGACCTTCACTTTATCTTCAAGACCACGCCAAGCAACTGCTACTGACAGATCAGTGTCATTGCTTTCATAGTCAAAGATAACTGCTCTGATATTTTGGTCCTGTGTTCGTTTTATCATGGACACCATACCGTCCAGAAAAACGTGAATCCATTTCCCTTGGTTTTTAGCAGTTATAACAAACGTAACAATCACTTCTCGTTTCCATGGAGCCAAGAAGCAAACAGTGTGGTTGTCGTGATAGATGTGCTCGGAGACGTGGATGATGTCGTTTGATGGAGTCGATAAGTCGATTTCTACGAGGAATCGACTCCCGTTGAAATAATTCGACTTTTCGACATTGACGATTGTCTTTAAGGTGAGATCGCTGAAAATGAAATATTTTTTTCTCGGAAATCATGCTGATAGAGTACAAACACTAAGACTGTTTAACATAAATACCACTAAATACTGCTAAATTATGCTAATTCTATTGTTTAATTTGCACTATTTAGTAGTAAATAGTGCAAAGTGTTGCATGTTTTTAGTTTTTGTACTCTAGCATGGCTTCCTCGGGAGATTTGGTATTAAATGTCACTAAACCTCGGGCAGACTTGGGAATTCAACTTATTTGCACTCGGATTCGGRAACATATACCTATTTCAAAAAATGTTGTCGGATAAAATGGCGAATGGCAATTGTCGAACGGCGATTGCACGACCGAAAGGAGTCATGGGTTCTGATAATGGATGGGGAATAATAACTAATTTTTACCGTAAGATATTCTATGGTCATCATTGGCTCCATTTAGTCTCCATTTTCACGCAAGTAAACCAAACAATTGAATTTTTTTGTATGTCAAACAGCGTGTAACCATAGTCCCTTTCGGTCGTTCATTCTCCCTTCGACAATCGCCGTTCGCCGTTCTCCTCGACAACGTTTTTTGAAATAAGTGTACATCCTTCACAGCTAAGATATGACTTCTAAGTAACAGTACTACGGTAGTAAAGTTCCATGGGAACTCAAAYGAGTCACTTTTGCATSRTYATTAACTCTTCTTACTTACTTTCTTAACCTTTTTCTTGTCCTATTCAAAAGAAGTTCCACGATGTTCGTCGCACTGGTCTTGTTCAGCATGTTGTCATGATTCCACGCGGGAAGGGGTCTGGTCTTATAATCACTGTTACTACCAACCCTGTTCACCATATCGTAAGGGTAGACAAAAATACTAGTGTAATACTTCCTGTGTATTGAATGATGTCGTTGAAGTTTAATTGTCTTTCTTTCTAATTTCCGAGACTCGCTAGGATTTGGAAGGTCACAATTAGGTAGAATTCCAGCAAATATTTCATGGCTTGAGTATGAAGTATGTTTCTCCAAAAGGAAGGGATTTTCTTTTGTAGAGTTCACACATGAAGCAACAGAAGGGATTTCAATATCGTAGAATGCATTTTTAAGATCAAAGTCATTTTGGAAGAAAGGTAAAAGAACTTCTTTTTCAATGTTGAGAAATGCTTCATTTCCTGGTGATTTCAATTTTACTGATAAATAACTCCCTTTCCTCTGTCCAATATGCAATACTTCGATAAAGTACTTCTTTCCTGAACGAAGTTCAATTTCCTCTGAGATTGGACCTGGATTCTGATTTTCTTTTCTGGGCTTTTTTTTTTCTCCAGCATCAGCAATAAGCTTAGCATTTTCGACTTGGTCGTCAAAACTGAGCCACAATTCTGAGGGCTCTAAGGAAGAGATGCCAAACTTRTAATTTCCAGATCTAKAAGGCAGCAGAAATCCAAACRCTCTTTGTACATATTGGTTTTCACTTTTCGATGAAAAGTTCAAACWTTTTAAGGTGATTTTTTKGTCAGGTGCGTTAGGAAATAATGGAATATTACAAAGAAAGTCGATGCTCTTTGCTTTCAAGTACCAGACATGTTGATTCAGACCTGCGAGTTTCATCAGTTCCTTTCTTGACGTCTGGTTTTCCGGCTTCTCTTCCAATTCATTTGAAGGGTCACTCGCCTTGATATAATATCTAGTCTTGACAACTGTGACCAGTTTGAGATTAATAAATAATATAATCGCCACTAAAACTACCAAAAGTACGAAGAAAGTGATATATGGCTTGCTGTGCCGAGTCATTACTGACTGACTTTTCGTTTTATATTTTGTACAAGTAAATTGGTACAACTGATTTATTAATGGCAATAATACAATTGGGCACTAAGTTACCGTCAAGACGTTTTGAAAAATTTCACAAAGGCCGCATTTGTTTGTTTTCACATTAAATTGAGCATCACGACATTCGTGACCACGAGATATAAGGGCAGACTTGTGAGTGTGTAAGAAAAAAGAGCTTTTGTAAGATAGATTGATAGATAGATGAAATTATTTACATTAAAAATTTGAAAAAAGAACTATGTATAAAAAGGGAAAATATACTGAATATGAAACTGAAACATGCATGCGCGTTGTCATGACGTCTGATCTTGGCGAATTCGACATATTATTATATGACTTAGATAGTACGCGCGCTCTGATTGGCTGAAAACTGGTCCGTGAAATCGCATATCCAGACCGCGGGTCCGTCTTTTTCCGTATCCGGACCGGAAATTGCTAATTTGATGGTCGTGCAGTAAAGTTGGATCGAGGGAATCAAGAAAACTTTGTTTATCAGATTTGAGACTTTCTTTGCAATAAAAAATTCACACAAAATCCATTTGTTTAATGATCTGAAAGAAGGATGGTTCAATTTCAACTACTCCCGCCTTTTTGTCCGCGCTCGCGTCTTAGCACTTGACTTTCCCGCTCTTTTCCGAGTTGACCGTACAATTGTTTTCAATGCCAACGGCATCAATCCAGCTTAGAAATGCTCGATAAGTATTCACCACAATTTAAAGATAGCCCAAAAAGGATCATATTGGAAGAAAAACTAAGTTGTAAAAGCTCAAAAGAAGCCAGAACATAAGTCCACAAACTACTCAAAACAAAAGTGAAAAGCCAAAGGGATTCAAACCGGTGTCTTGGCAAGAATGAAATCCTCCTTTTATAAAGACAACTTTCCTCGATTCAATGCTTTCTCGAAAAAGAAAGAAGATTGTAATTCTATATTGAGAGACATCCACTTCGAAAAAGTAAACAAATCTACACTGGCGCGGCCGCGACGATAGATGATAGAAGAATCAGTGAAAATTTGTGAGTAATTCTTAATAATAATGTATTTGTGTATGAAAATAAACTGAATCTATGAAACAAGGAGCCAAAATCCCCGTCTTTTTAGCCGACAATTACTGAAAATATGATGATTTCTTTGTCATTTTACTCATATCGTGAGATATTTGAGAAAAGCGTTGCCATCAGATAGAGGGAGGCAACGGGTTGCAAGTTGACCAGTGAGACTTTTCCTATATACTTTGAGTAATTCTTCTACATAATCTACGATGTAAAAGTCATATAATAAACGAGTTATTAACCTCGCTTGCTCGATCTGTACGGGAAAATATCAGACCTCGGTCTTTTTATGTACGGACCTCGCTGCGCTCGGTCCGTACTGGTCAAGACCTCGGTCTGATATTTTCCCGTACAGAGCTAGTGACAGTGTTGAGTGTTTTAGAAAAACTTGAAAAACGTCTTAAAAATTAAATAAGGGGGGGGGGGGTCTGTTCTTTCGCACGGACACGATGTTTTCCTCATTCAAATCTTGAAATATAACAGAAATCATACGGAAGAAACATTCACACAGCTGATCGGATGTAAAAGCGTCGAAATCAATAGTTAAAGAAACGTGAATGAGTTTAGGCAGTTTTGAGTTGGAAAGAGGTCGGYGAAAATGTCCGTATAGACTGCGTGACTTATTCATACGGGCATGGATTCCGTATATCAACAAAATAGACACTGAACAAGATATGAATTACCTGGTTACGGTTTCGGCCAATGTTTTTATAATGCTTACAAGTCTGGCCTGAGCTTAATCCCTTCTTTTAATGATATTA